CTATATTTAACTTCATTTGCCATTTCTTGGCCTATTTCCCCAGATGATCAAGACCCTGCTGCAATTTCTGATAACCTTCCTGACTGTCCGCGATACTGCCTATTTTAGTATCATCCGCAAACTTACTAATCATGCCTTGTACATTCTCATCCAAATCATTGATATAGATAACAAACAGCAATGGGCCCAGCACTGACCCCTTAGGCACACACTAGTCACAGGCCTCCAGTCCGACAAGCATCCTTCCCCTATTACTCTCTGCTTTCCACCATCAAGCCAAATGTATATCTAATTGGTCAGCTCTCCCTGGATTCCATGCAATCTAACCTTCCAGAGCAGCCTACCATGTGGAACCTTATCAAAGGCCATACTGAAATCCATATAGAGTACGAATACCATCCTGCCCTCATCAACCTTCCTGGTCACTTCATCAAAGAACTCTAACAGATTTGTGAGGCATGATCTCCCACGCATGAAGCCATGCTGACTACTCTTAATCAAATTCTGTCTTTCCAAATCACATGTATCTTATCCCTCAGAATCTTCTCAAGTAACTTACCTACCACAGATGTTAAGCTTACACATCTGTAATTCCCACATTTTTCTTTGTAGCCTTTCTTGAATAAGGGCACAACATTCGCCACTCTCCAGTCTTCCGGGACCTCACTCATGGCTAGCGATGATGCAAATATATCAGCAAGGGCCCCACGATTTCTTCTCTAGCCTCTTGCACGGTTCTTGGATATAGCTGGTCGGACCAGGAGATTTACCCACCTTCGTACATTCTAATATTTCCAACCCCACCTCTATTGTGATATGGTCTGCCTCAAGATATCGCCACTAACTTCCCCAAGTTTCCAAGTCTTCATGTCTTTCTCCATGGTAAATATGGAGGAGAAACACTTATTGAGGACCTCGCCCATCTCCTGCGGTTCCACACATACATGTCCACTTTAGCCCTTGAGGAGTCCTATTCTTTCTCTAGTTATTCTTTTTCCTTTAACATACTTAAAGAATTTCTTTGGATTCACCCTAATCTTCTCAGCTAAAGCTATCTCGTGCCCCCTTCTTGCCCTCCTGATTCCCTCCTTCAGTAAACTCCTGTATCCCCTATATAACTCCTTGATCCCAGCTGCTTGTACCTGAGCCGTGCCTCCTTTTTCTGGTCAAAGCCTCAATATCTCTTGTCATCCAGGGTTCCCTACTCCTACCAACCTTGCCCATCACCCTCACAGGAACATATAGACTTTAAAACTGTGATAGCTAGAGTTCAAAGGCCTCCCACTTGCCAGACGTCCCCTTGCCTGCAAACAAACTATTCCAGTCAACCCCTGCAAGTTCCTAATTCCATCAAAATTCGCTTTGCCCCAATTTTGAAATTGAGCCTGTGGACCAGTTTTGTCCTTTCTCACAACTATTTTAAAATTAATAAACTATGGTCACTGATCTCAAAGTGCACCCCCACCGTCACCTGTCCTGCTCTACTTCCCAAGAGTAGGTTGAGTTTTGCCCCTTCCCGAGTATGTCCCTCTATATACTGCTTGAGGAAACTTTCCTGAACACTTTTAACAAATTCAACCCCATCTAAGCCCTTAACACTATGGCAGTCCTAGCCTATGTTAGGAAAATTGAAATTCCCCACTATGACAACCCTATTTCTCCTGCACGTCTCCACAGTCTCCCTGCATATTTGTTCCTCTAATTCCCATTGACTATTTGGGGGCTGATAGTACAACCCCAATAACATCACCATCCCTTCTTATTTCTTAGCTCCGCCCACAATCCCTCACTGGATGATCCTTCAGTTATTTCATCTGTGACTACTGTTGTGATACTCCCTTCAATCGAAATGCAATTCCCTCTCCCCTCTTTCCTCCACCACTGTCCCACCTAAAGAACCTGTACCTTGGCATATTAAGCTGCCAGTCCTGTCCCTCCCTTAGCCATGTTTCTGTAATGGCTATCCATGCCCTGAGCTCATCGGCCTTACCTGTCAGCCCTCTTGCATTGAAATAGATGCAATTTAATCCAACAGGCATTCCTCACTCCCTGTCCTGTTCCAGGCTGACCTTTTTCAATCAACCTGTGTAGTGATGTTATTACCTTTTGGAGCAGGTGGGACTTGAATCCAAGCCTCCTGCCTCAGAGGTAGGGACACAATCACCACAAGATCGCCTTAATTTCTTAGGGTAGCATTCTCGGCTGAACCATCTTCAGCTACCTCATCAATAATCTTCCCTACATCGTTAGGTCAGAAGTGGAAATGTTAGCGGATGATTGCACAGTGTTCCAGCACCATTTGTCACTCCTCAGATACTGAAGTAATTCCATGTCCAAATGCATGTATCCAGATATGGGCTGACAAGTGATAAGTTACATTCATGCCACACAAGTGCCAGATAGTAACCATTACCAACAAGAGAGAATCTAACAACCATCCCTTGACATTGAATGGCATTTCCATCACTGAATCCTTCAATATCAAAATGATGGAGTTTAACATTGACCAGAAAGAGAATTGGACCAGCTATAAAAATAATATGGTTACACAAGCAGGTGAGGGTATGTTAGGAATTCTACAATGAATAACTCATTTCCTGCCTCCCCAAATCATGGTCATCACCTGCAAGGCACAAGTCAGGGATGTGTTGGAGTATTCTCCATGGGATATTGCATGGATGAGAGCAGTTCCAACAACACTCAATAAGTTTGACATCATCCAGGCCAAAACAGCCCACTCGTTGGCACCACATTCATATTCACCCTCCCGCAACCAATACACAGGAGTAGGAGTATGTCCCATCTACAAGTTGCAGAAATTCACCAAGGCTGCTTAGACAGTACCAATTCCACTCCAAACCAATCACCACACTGACTTGAAAATATATTACCATTCCTTCAGTGTCACTGGGTCAAAACCCTGGAACTTCCTTTGTAACAGCACTGTTAGTGTATCTATACCAAATGAACTTTAGCAGTTCAAGGAGGCAGGTTGGTACCATGTTCTCAAGGGCAACTAGGAATGAGAAATAAATGTTGGTCCAAACCCTTGAATGAATAGTAGAATGATTATTCATTATTTGTTCCAAATGATAATCTGAAGCTCAACAATGTCAGCACACACAGACTGTTGACACTGGGGTGTCTTCCTGCGTCAGACTGACTGAAGTCTGTTTTCTGAAACCAATGAGATAGATTCTGAAATCTTTGGGAGCCCATTACGAGTGGTGATGACACCTTTGAGTGTCTTTGACTTGCACACTTTGGATGAGAGAGGTTTTAGAGAAAAAGAGAGAGAGGGTAAAAGGCAGTTGTTCCTCTGGAAAGTTATCTCAAAATGTTTATGTTCGGAATTCAGTGGCTTTATCACACCCACGAAATTGGGATCATGTGACCTCTCTGTGAAAGTACTGTAGACTGGTTTTCTCCATCCAAACACCTCTTTCCTTATGAATACAATATTGTTGTATCCAATATCTTTTGTTTTGGAAATGTGATTTTCAGATGTCAAGATAGATGTACGTTGGCTCAATCAGCGATATTATAGATTGATATTTGGGTCACACATCTTTGTGACATCTTATAACAGTTTATAATAACCTTGTTCCTTACCAACCACTTAACCTGCTTTTTACTCTCCCACTGAACCCCTTCCATTATGTAAGCCTCATAGATGTCCTCTGCTTCAACTTAGTTACCTCAGTTGGGTCTGCTATGGCACACAATGCTTGTTCATGTACCTCTCATTGCATTCATTTTTATTTCATAGAAGATGCTTTCTACTTCTGGTTCCATTTTCCTCTCCATCTCTCCAATTAATTTCTCCACTCTGATGGCTCCACATCAGTTTCTCCTACTTACGTCCTAACCATTATAATGAATAAAACATTCTCCTTTATCTTGGATTTGAATGTTGTCTTCCAAGCCTTGACTAAATCTTGACTCACTGACAACAACTCTTTCTCCTTCTTTGGCATTCTGCCTGACTACACTATTCTATTTGTGCCTCTGCACTGTGAAGGTAGTTTTGACCTGAGCTGTACCGCTGTGCTTGGTCTATCATCATATTTCTCTCACATTATTTCCTTCATGTACCATGTTGTGAACATGTTTCCACCAATTGCTCAACCTAACCCTCCAATTAAACTATTTATTGAATAGTCTCACCAGCTACTGAAACAGACAACTAACAGGACCATTTCTGCCCAATATTTCATTATGCTTAAAATCTTCTGTATCTTTCACTTCTTCCACCTTTTCTTACACCCTGAAAAATCTTGACCCAATCCAGGATTTTGCCAACTTCCCGTTCTTTGACCTGCATGGATAAACAGTTGCTTTTGCCAACAACCATATGTCACTCCTTCTGAATCTAACCACCAACTGCCCATACTCCGCAAGTTCTTATCAACCTCCTTCAATACTAGTTTCTGATCACTCAGCTTTCCTTTCTTGCTGGTATATTCAGTCATTGGCAGCATTTTCTGTCTTTCACTAATTTTTATTCCAAAGCTGTCCTTGCTGTTTGTTTAAAAACACAACCATGAACTATTTCAAGGTAGGCATCCTTAGAAGAGGCTTCGCAAACTATTTATTTTGTACAAACATCCGTTGTATCCTGTGAAGGTTTTGTTCAGTATTTTCGCAAGTTTTGAGAGAGTGTTATTTCCACCCTTGAAGGGTTATAATTTGGTTCTGCACCTCCAAATCCTCTGTCTTGCTAGCCTGCATGTTTGACTTGTACTGTATTTTGGTTTAAGTGCCTGATGCCTGAGAAGAATGTCCAAGTTAGGTCAGGGGAAACTTTAGAATGTAGTAAAGGAAACCTGTCTATTTCAACACTTTTCACAGTTGAGAGTAAATTTAACTTCATTGCACATTAAATAGAGTAACTCATGTTGGGTTTTTTAAAAAAAAGTCCTGATCAATCTGTAGGAAAAGTGGATTTAAAGTTTGTGGAAGAAAATATTTTACACAAACTCTGTTATTGTCTTTAACAGGTTTGGAATCATCACACTCCGATCTGTTGCTGGCATTAACATTCCCCAAGAAGCAACACTCATCAAGTACCTTCAGGAAGCCTTATGAATGTAGAAGTAGTACTGATAGGTACCTTCAGGAAAACAAATGTAGACAAAAATGCACTGAAAACATCAACAAAGAGCACCTTTCTGACCACTCTTCAGCTAAACAGGGAGCCCAAACAAGCACCCTGCCAATGTTACCCATCTTGCCCTTCACCCAACTAAGGGAGTGTCAAGACAAGCCATCAGATTTGCTGTCTGGAAACCTATTGTCCAGTGAAGAACAGTCCTCTTCTACTGACCTAGCAAATAACTTTGCTGTTGATTTATTTCAATCCTCCTACGGTCAAGACCAGGTGTCACATGGGATAGAAAATATGTTTGGAGCTTCTGCTTTTCTGGGTGAATGGGCAAATGATGGACAAAATGAGGACTTTGTCACAAATGAACAAGATCATCATGGGAATGATGCAGGGAAAGAAAGTGAGAGCATGACAAGAAGTAAAATGTTCAACATTGAAACAAACCTATTAGATCATTTTAAGCCAGCAGACATCTTAACTGAAAACTTTCTACTCAGTGAGACCCAATTGAATTCAGCACTTAAACAAGAGGTAGAGTCAAAGATAGAAGGGAATGAACTGACAAACAAACAAGAGGCTCTTGGAGCTGTGAGTGCCCAGTACACACAAGATATGCAAACCTATATTAAAGAACTGGATAAATTATTCACTAATGTTCCAGTGAGCGCTTTTTCACAACATGAAGATTGTAACCATCTGCGCTCCACAATCTCTTGCTGCGCTGAAGTTTTGAACCATCTTCTATGTACTAGTGACAACAGTCGAGCCGCTGAGCTTCAGATCCAAATAGATCCATATGGAAATCATTGTAACACCACAGCAAGTCAGGAAAGTTCTGAACATATTCTTCAATCTGATAATCCATTTCCATTACACTCAGCTCAGACACCCAATAACTTTCAACATTTTGGCCACAGTGGAACCATGACTCTAGAGCCTAGTGTTCCCTTTCCTGTTTTGCTAGCTAATGAAGTGACAATGGAACAAGTAGAGGCTCCATTTCAAAATGGATCAACTTCTCTTTATCCCTTCAGGTTTAATTCTTCTCATGATCAAACAGGAATAGATGCAGAGTTGCACCAACCTCCAAGGCAACATTTGTTCTCTCCCTATTGTCCCATCCTGCATCACCATTATACAGATATACACGTGGACACACATAAGATCCAACAATGCTCTCAGGAGTTCTCTCATGCTGCAGTGATTGAGTCTCATAACGTCCAATAGTGCACTTTAGCAGACAGAATCTTGGAAAATGCGATCATAAAGTCGTTGGATGGGTCAACTGAATAGATTTGGTAAATATCTTTTAGTAAATGAAAGGGGAACATAATATTGAAAGAATAGGATACAAAATGCACAGTGGAATCATGTGTTAAATGGGATTGCAATAATATGAGGTAGGCAACAGAAATCATTGGCTAAAAGCTTTATGGCAAGCCATTTTCAGTAGTACTAATATACTGAGCTGGTCTATCTCTGTTGCAATGGCAGTTTTTTAGTAGCTAAACCATGTCTGTTGAAAATGTTCCATTTCAAGACCTATTATTATCATTAAACTCAAATTTGATCTTAGAAAGAGAGATTCTCAACAGAATAAGAGCGTTTCATTGGCAGGACTGCCTAGAAAAAGAAGCCATGAGATTCAAATAATAACTGGGGGAGTTTTGATGGTAGTGCTAGCTCCTTAATAGTTAAACTTGTCTATTGTTTTTGGATTTCTTTTTGTTTTAAAGGCAATGTTATTTTGAAGCTTGCCTGACTAGTGTAAATTATGTCAAAGGAGATTGAGACATTGAAAACATATATTGGGTAAAATTTCAGTTTTTGGTATGCTGCAGTTGTGTCAAATCCTTCTGGGAATAAAGAAAGAAAAGTAAGTGGAGGGAAGGTGTGAGAATGCTTCTAGCTGGTGTAGAGGCTTATATTCAAAATCCAGATACATCACAGATGTCGAGCTAGCCTTTGTGAATTTTCTTTTGAGAATGTTTTCCTGGATAGAGAACAAGTCAGTATGTTTTTATTTGAATTCTTCTTTGAATAAAAATGTTCTGCTTTTTCTTTTAAATAGGTAGAGATATTTGAATACCTGTGTTTTGAGTTTGATATTTTAATTGTTTTTAAACAAATACAGGAAGTGTTAGAAGTCCTAAGCACTCTCCTGTTGTTGCTCCTTAATTTGTTTTTGCAATTTCATCTGTACTGTGAAAATAGGTTTCAGGCTGAGCATTACTTACTCCTGAGCTGATGTAAAGTATGTGAAATATGCTCACAGTACTTTCTCCGCTTGATGACATTGAGATATTTGCCACTAGTGACTGAAACCCATGCAGGGACTAAGACCATTGGCAAATTTCCTTATTTTTCCAGGCAATCCCACCTCACTTTTCACAGGCTACCTGCATTGCATTTCTCCAATGGAACAGGGTTCCAAGATTTAACAGACAAATAAGCCACACTTAGTTTAATCAGTTTATAATTATTTACCCATCTAGGCGCATGAGTTTATGTGAGCAATTGTTTTTGAGTATGCAAATGTTTTTATATTGGTAAGCGTGTGTGCATATGTTTGACAGTGAGGTAACATGCATGTGTATGAGACATTGTGCAAGAGTGAGAAGCTGCTTGAGTGTATGTATTTGTTTGAGGCTCTGTGTCTGCAAAGGCAGGTGTAAGAGAATGACTGACAGGTACTTTCAGTGGCAGTGAGCTCAAATGTGTAACAGACCATGCGTTTCTTTGACAGTGGTTTTGAAATACGTTTTGATGTGGATCTAGGAATGCTGGACCTTATGTTTATTGCTATTATTTTTAAAACACCGCTGTTTATTATTTAATGTGTGCATGCTTTATGAAGAGTTTTAAATGGAAAGTATTATAAAGTAGAAAGACTTAATATTTCATTTATCCTGTGCTGTTTTAAGGAGCTGTCACTCATTCGTAAGAGTACAGGTTTTCCTTCATTTTTCCTTACTGACCATCTGATTTAAAAAGAGCTATGTATCCTCCACTCTGAGTATTCCTTCTACTTTTCTGGGAATCCTGAAAGCTATGAACGACCCAACTGATGCAATGGTCAGAGTTAACAAGCAGAAATCTTAGGAAGTCATTTAGACTAAGTCAGATTCCAGCATTCTTCTGTTTTCAAGATATTTCTGTTTTAATTATGTCATTTCCAACATTATTTTATAAAGAAATGTGTAATGATTTATAAGCAACCACAGTATACATTGACTTGTCAAACAGTGACACCAAATCAGATCACACCTGGAAACAAGGTTCATCCAGCTCTGCACCTTGTTGTCTTGGAAACAAGGTAGTTGTTCAAGCTGCAAGATAGAAAGGGAATCTGGAAATGCTACAAGTGTAGGATCTGTCAGTACCAGAAGAAAGTTGGGCTCATCCTCCAGCAAGTCCAATTGTTAAACTCTGAGCCTTATCTCAGTGAGCAAATTGTTTACTGCTGACTTAGATGGATTATCTTTAGAAACAGATTTCACTGGAGAGGTGGAAATAACTAATTGTAGATCCCCCTCCTGTTGTGCTTGCTTTCAACAAGTTTAGTTCTTTCCAGTGATGCTTCCTTTTTACCAGAAAATGGTCAAAACCTTTGTGATTAAGCACACTTCTTTTTTTGCTACTGCAGTTTAATTGTAATTCCAGCAGAACTGCTCTATCTCTTTATATTGTTAACTCAGATTCAGGGTTGAGGTCTGTAGTAAAATTTTGTAGATGTACAACATTGTTATTCTGAATGAGAAATCCTTCAGAACACTAAGCTTTTATCTTCCTGTTTTTATTTTGGCAAACTGGTGACAGTTTGGACAGACAGTTAAGCCTTTCAAGTTTTGTAAAGAATACAGAAATGGAGCTGATAAGCATTGGTGGAAAGAGAGCACGAATATATAGAGAAAAAACATAATAATCAAGCAATCAGTCATGAAACTCACTTAAATCATTTATTGTGTACCTGAGTTACTGATTCCTGAACACACTTCTGATCAGGTGGTCAGATTTTGTTTCTGGGAAAACAGTGAATATTTGACATGTAACTGTATAGTGCACGGTAAAGAACGTATTTTAATATATCATTTCCATGCCATGTGAATAAAAATCTGTAATTTGAAGCTATGATTTTGGAATTGGATTAGGAATAAATGCAGAACTCATTGCACATTCATTTTAACTTGTTTTTATGAATAGATAGAACTTCCAGTACAGAAACAGGCCATCAGGTCTCCACTGATGTGTATGCTGCATATGAACCAGCTCTCACCTTATTTCAACTGATCTGTTATTTGAGAAATACCCAGCTGAATTGGTGCTGTGTTTTCATTTTCTTGGTAATTGTAAAGTAGTCAGAGACATGAAACAACTACGTCATGAAGGTTACGTCTTAAACCATACTCCCTCGAAGAAATGGCACCACCAGTAATGCAATATTTATTCCATGTAGTTTCAATCATGCTGCACCTCCCTACAGTAGCTTTTACAGGTCACCAAATCTAAAAGCAACAAAATCAAAATCTTACCAGCATATTGAAAGTGATATGTCCAATACACACAGGTTATCAGACTTTGTCCTGGGTGACATGGCATTTTCAAATTCTGGCTGGCAATCTGTAAAGCTCCTGGAACAATTAAAATGAGAAATACAGGTGGAAATTAAGGCAGCTGTCTTCTGTGACCTTGAAGAAGCCAACAATGTTGGGTACAGCTTGACACAAAAGAAGTTGCATCCATATAGCACTTTTGTTCACACGAGACATCTCAAATACTTTGCAACTCATGAAGTACTTTTGGTATAGTCTTTGCTGTAATAATATAAACTCAACAACCAATATACACACAGCAAGCTCTCACAAATATGCTAATAATGACCAGATAATATTTTCTGGTAATGTTGATTGAGGGATAAATTTTGGCAAAAACACAACGTAAAATAACTCCCTTGCTCTTCTTTTAATTAGTGTCATGGAATCTTCCACATCCACCTAAGAAGGCAGTAAGTGCCTCAAATTAACATTGCCCCACATCTGACACTGCAGCACTTCTTTGGTACTGCAAGGGAACATTAGCCTTGATTTTTGAGCTCAAGTTCCAAACTGTGATTTAAACATGGAACCTTGTGACTCAAGCAAGAGAGTGCTACCAAATGAGCTGTGGCAGACATTAAAATATGTCTTGCAACTAATTCACAGCCATCTCAATCTAAATGTCAAACTTAAAATTTGTTTATACATGTAACTATGACACCAGCATTTTCTTAGACGATACAAAAAGTCAGTGATTGAACCAGAGCATGAAATATATGAACATGTTGCCGATCTCTACTTGACCTCAATTACAGAACCTTGTTTACCTCAGGTACCTTTGCAGAAGCCTATCAGTGTCATGGTTATTGTTCCAATTGTTTGTGGTCCTTTTAAGCATGGCTTTTGCTGGATGGATGGAGCTAGATTTATCCTTATTTGTGTAAGGCATGTACCTCACTGTATGTTTAAGCAAATAAGACAGCAGCGGAGAGGGATGCATTGGCTCAGTGTCAGCTTCTTGACAATATGCTGTGGGTAAAAGGGAAAAATTTGGTCAGAACATACAGTGCAAGTATGAATTTACCCAGTTTGTACTGTACATATTACAGGAGATAAAAATGAGTGGTACATGAATTTTGCTGTACAGGAATGAATTGAACTGTTTTACTGTGTTTTGTACATTTACTGGAGCTGACAGTGAGATGCAATGAGCTCTAATGTAGCAGGCACACGTTTCTCTTTACCTGATGCTTTGTCTGCTTTTTGAAATTTTCCTCCCAGGAAACATGAAGAATAATTTATTAGATTTCACCTCTGTTTCAGGTACTTCTGCTATTTGTTTACAAAGTAAAATACAAATAAATAATCTGGTGCAAAGCCAGTAGGCAATTGGGGTTAAACAAAATTGTTCATAATTTGGCATCATGAAGTCATAGGGATCGACAGTACATTGGGTCTACACCAAAGAACAAAGAACAGTATAATACCGAATCAGACCCTTTTGCCCACAAAGACTGCACTGATGTACGAAGCCTTTCTAAACTAAAAATCATTTGCCTCTATGCAATCTATGTCCCTCTATTTCGTGCCTATTCATATATCTATCAAGATACCTCTTAAATGTTGCTATTGTACTCACCTCCACCATCTCCTCTGGCAGTGTATTCTGGGTAGTTACCTCACTCTGTGTAA